CTATAAGGATCTCAAAATTGTAAAAACATTAAAAATACAACAAGGCAGTGCGAAGATATGGCGATTCAAAGTTCGAAAAAAATCTATTTTTAGTAACAAAATGGCTGATTTTTCAGTAAAAATAGAAATTTGAATCGCCATATCTTCGCACTGCCTTGTTGTATTTTTAATGTTTTTACAGTTTTGAGATCCTTATAGGACAATCTTTTCAAAAAAGTTACTAGCATGTTCTTAGCTCGTGTTTAATTTTTTGGCGCCAAAGTTGGCACGTCATTTTCCCGCCAAAATGTAACAAAATCGAAAAACAAAAAACATACGATTTTTAGGAATGTTAAGTTCTATCCTGTGAGGGAGTTTCGTGATATTCCAAACTAACGAGAGAAAGTTATATGTACTTGGCCAAATTCGCTGTCTTTTATGCCCACCGTATACGTAGGGGGCCGTAGGCACAGCCGCAAAGGCTTTTTGTAAAGCTGGCCAGTAGATTGTGAAACTCATGTCTATAACCTTCATATGAAATTGACTTTTACGTGGTTTCAGATACTAGCTACCGACGAGAGATGTAGCCCCATGCGTTCCCTAAAAATCGTATTTTGATTGCCAATTTTGGGCTCATGCGGCGAACGTGTAATGATTTTTTAAAACATCTCAACTACTCATCTTAAATCAAGAATGGCACCTCCCTCCCCTTTAGGAATGGGGGGATCCCCTGTGTCCCCTTTGGCGCCCCTGGTTGTATCCTTGGGTAGAGCGTACGAGAACATGCATTTAATGTTAAGAGTTTTCGGATCGGATCGGATTGATAAAGTTGTTTCGTAGTCGGATCGGATTGGATCGGACTTCGATATCCGAAATAAAATAAATTAATTATCCACGTATTATCGCAAGAATTAATTATCCATACATTTATCAAAACATCATCGCGGTTCTCGCTGCATTATTCGTTTGATACTTCAATTGGACGTCACTTTGTCAGCTTCTTGACATGTATTTCTTGCTTTTATATTTATTTGGTTAAATATTTCAACTTGAATGAGAAATTTATTTTATTAAAGAATTCTTCGGATCGGATCGGATTGGAATTCTTTTTCAAAACTCGGATCGGATTCGGATTAGACAATTTCGGATCGGATTTTAAACATCAGGCAATTGTCGGATTATAAACGTCCAATCCGATCCGATGCACACCTCTAAAGCCTATATCATTAGTTTACAGTATATACAAATTTGAAAAATATCTATTGAGTATTGGGCATATCCTGCTTCATTAAATTCTTAAATTAAATAGGACTGCCAGTTTTCAAGATCTATATTTCGATGATAAAATTCAGTTATCAAATGTAGAAAACGTTGATGGAAAATTAAAGATTTTAGTAATTTCAACTTTCATGTTTTTCGTAGAATGTTGTAATTGTTTAGTAAAATAATTCTATTTCTATCGGTGTGAAGGTTTTGCTACCAGCAAACAACGACTGGGTTTGTTGGGTGCCATATTGATACCCTGGTGGAGGTTGATATGTGTTACCAAGGTTGCTATATGTGTTTTGGTTGCTGTTGGCATTGTTATAGATTTTCAGATCATGACCTCCACCAAATACTGCTCCATAAGAAGAATGACAGTAGATTGCGTTGCCATTTTTACCGTTAATCATCGGACATTTGAATGGTTGCATGTTGTTTGGGTTACGTAATGAGAACAAAAATGATGCGTTGGAACTTTTGTACTGACCTGAACCTAGGAGAAGTATAAAACGAGCAAATTAACAACAACCTAAACCTGTTATACATGATAAACATCTTACGAAAGTAACGGTTATAAATCTTAACTTGATCGTGATTTTGCCCCATGGCAATGGGAATAAGGTCAGCAAAAATATTACAGAAAACAAAACCAACTAAGACTTTTTTCAGATTTCATCACTACAGCATGCAGCACAGTAAACAAGAACTGGGGGCGGTTGTACGAAGGCAGGATAGCGCTATCCACTGCAGGATAGCGATTTTTTCAACCGTTGTAAAATTGTTTGAAAAGTTATAAAACTATACGGATATGGAGCTCACAATTAATAAAGTTTAATCCGGGTTATCAACGAACAATTTTACAAAGGTTGAAAAAATCACTATCCGGTGGATAGAATTATCCGGCTTTCGCACGACCGATGCCATGCAGAATTAAGAACACGATTGACTTTTCCCGTTAAGTTTCATCCACTGGTTTCACTGATCACTACAGCAGTACAGCATACGTAAATAACTTATAACAGCAAAAGTACATATTTGATATTTCCTACGTGTTCATATAACTCATTTCAGCAAATCTTTGATTTGGCACATCGTCAGGGTACTTTACAGCAAGTATTTTATGACGTGTGACTCAGTATTGTTTTAGATAGCGTATGTATTCGGTGATTACTCGAGTATAATTCTTAAATATAGTACAAGACAAAGTCCGAAAAATAACATCTTAGGAAATCCAAGATAAGGATGAAACGAGTTTCTGAAATTTCGATTTCATTGCATAATCATTATTAGATTGAATATAAAATTTATCTATGTACGAAAGTGATGAAAATTTGTGAAATGGAAAAATTCGTACCTAGCCAAGTTTGATCAGTGTATCCTCCAAAGATCCAGTTTCCAACCTTGACCAAAACTACTGTTCCTGCTTTATTATCACACAGTTTGTGGAAGTCTTGACTAGACCAACCATGTAGAGATGCTCTGTAACAAAGCTTTAATGGTGCGTTTCTGTTGTTAAGGAAGCGCAGCAAATGTTGAAAAAGCTCCATTTCATTTTTCAGGATTGCTGTATCTGGCATGATTGCTGTAATTCATAAAGAATAACAAATTGTTTTTAATTTTCTTGTGTTGGTGTAATATTCCAAAGGTCGTATAGGTTCGATTCCCACCGTAGCCTGCCCGGTGTGGATATACACTCAGAGTAACATCACAAGCGTCAAATTGTTTTTAAGATTAACATTCAAAGTTAATATTAATTGAACTAAAAAATTAAAAATGTCCAGACCTATTCAGATAGATGTACCAAGTAACTCTAATCCATATTCTTGGACAGGGGCGTAGGAAGCACCTGGAGTTTGGGGGGGCACCGGCTTGTAGGGGCACATTACTATCGGAAAGGGCACCTAAAAAATTTTTCCCGGAAATGTTGTCGACGGGGGGGGGGGAGAAATTTCTCCTGAGGAAAATTTTCCGTCGTATCATACCGAAATTTATGTTTGTGACCTAATTTTTAAAAAAAATTTGTAAATTTCCACACACAAACGGCACCTATTGTTTTAATTTAGTATTTACAGCGACATTAGCTTCTACAAAAGGGGCACTTTTCCTCACAAAAAAGGGCACTTTTCAACACAAAAAGGGCACTTTTTATCACAAAAAAGGGCACTTTTAGTCCTTTAAAAAAATTGGGGGGGGCACGTGCCCCCCGTGCCCACCCGCTTCCTACGCCCCTGTTCTTGGAATAAAATAAAAACAGATATACTTACAATTTGCTGCCAATTTCGTCAATATCGTATAAAAACAAAGCGTTTTCATATACGATTCCGGATTTTCAACTTGAACCTGGAACGTTGTTAAATTTTGAGGTCTTTCATTTTGCAACATTTGAATATCATCATCGATAACTTTCTGCGCTGACAACAATTCTTCAAGCTTCGAATTTTCCAACACATCATTTGTGCGTTGAAGTGACTTTTCAACTTTTTGCAGATAATTTGATATCATTTCAGCCTGAACGGCAAGCTTTTGGCAAGCGGGATCGTAAGCTTTATCAACTTCTTGAATTTTGTCCTCCAATATCTTGTTTATGCCATCTGCAACAGTTTTCATCATTTCATCTTTTTGAACGGTGTGTTTCACTTTGACATCTTTCGAGGCTTTCTCGTACGTTGCCTTGCTGTTATTGACAGTTTCTAATGCCTGAAAAGTGAAAAAAAACTAATCTTGAATTCATCCGTTTTCTTATAGCCAGTGTTAACTATTTCCCGAACCATCCTCTATTCTGATACTACAGAGAACAACGAACAAATCGAATGATGCGAGTTCGAATCCCACTCGAGACGACGAATTTTTGTTGTTCTCTGCAGTGTCAGAATAAATATGAAACTTTGTGAACTAGAATGGCTAATTTATATACGCTTCCGCCAGTGATTTACCTATCTTGGTGAACGGAGCCTAAGGGACCGGTCATCATTTATGGCCGGGAGTGGGGGGGGGGGGGGGGGGG